GGGGGGGGGGGGGGGGGGACATTAGAAATCAGGGTCATCGCTTTTCTTGGGTGGAGACTGCCTTTCTGGGTTGCTACAGGGCTTTCTGCAGAGCCCCTGACCTGCACAGAGCCCGGCGCTTCACTCCATGGCTGTAGGGGCAGCAAACTAAAACTCCTCAAAGGAGTTTTAGTTTGCTGTGCCCCAAGTCATTTAAGGCGCATTACACCGCCAAATTTCCTACACTGGCTAGAATTAATGTGCAATATGCCACCGAGGTGTGCAAACACCAACACCCTTCAAGTGGTGCAAAAGCATTTAGACCCACTTTAAAGTGTCATTCACACATGGCTCTCATTTCATCTACACATGGCCCGTGGTCCCATTCACAGACTAATGAGGCAGACAGCCTGTGCCAGGAAGCAAAGGAGTGCTTTATACTCCCTTTCCTCTCCTGCAACTGTATACAGGATAAATGACATGCTTGTCCTGAATAAATAATTCTGTCCTAAAAAATATTTCTTCTACTGTACAAATCAGATTCTGGGGGAAGACCAGACTTTACTAGTAAGATTACATTTTTATTATACTTTCCCTTGTATGTTTACCACCATTTGATTTATAAAAAATGTATGTGCAATGCAACCTGAAAAAAGCATTAGGAGTCTAAAACCTATAAGCAACTGTCAGGAAACCAGCTAGTAGGACCTGACTTTTACAAAGAGTGTTAGGGAGGAAAAGGCAGCTTTTTCCCTTTGGTGCTCATGTTTCTGTATTTTTCCTCCCATTTGGACTCAGTTTTCTCATTTTCAAAATATGGTTCCATTAACAAAAGATCTAATTTTAAACTAATAGCAAAGTTGCAGATAAAATAAATGTGTATTTCCTGTGCCAATAATTTATAATGTTAATGTGACCCATCAACAGTATATGTCGACATTGTTTTAGTGTGATGGGCAACAAAATCTGCAGACTGATCAGATTCAATAAAGTAAACAAAAGTGTGAAAAGACCTAACCATTTTGCTTACTGTTTTTTTCTGCCTTTCTTTAGATTGTACATATAGTTTTTTAAATACTTTACTGTGTTGTATGCACATCACAGATGTTAGTTGGATATGCTCTTTGAATTCAGGATATGATGTAGTTTAGACATACAAATTTATCCCAAATTTTAAAGATCATTCTGATGCTACTTACAGGATTCTGTACTGCAGATAAGATATCCACTCCCAGGGTAAGTGCCAGCTTGTACAGATGTCTGATATGTGCATGTTTCTCCAGAGTATTAGTAAGGTGGACCTTAGCTTGATGTGCATCATCAGGAACTTCATTTGTTTCAGGAATCTCAAGTTCTCCTGATTTTATGAGATAGTCGATCTGGAAAATTAGCAAGTATTTGAGATAATTCCTTAAATGAAATGATACCCTTTCTTTTTTCACCATCATATGTTAATATTAACTACATAGGGATGAGTCTGAAGCACAGAATTTGGATTTAGGTCCAGACTATGAACTCCTCTAATTTTAGAGGGTTTAAGTTCTAGTGTTTTAGTTTATGTCCATAAGTAGATGTATGTCATTAGTCTGTGGCAAAAGAAAGATGATAGGTACCAAAAATGGACAAATGATGAAATCTGGGAGGAAGAAAGTTATATTTATGGTAAAGATTATTATACTCACTTTTTCTTTAACGTGATGGAATTTGACTGTCTTGTTCAAAATGTCATCATATTCTGTCATCATGTCCTTTATCTTTTGATGACGATGAATAAGTTCACTTACTTTCTCAGAATTTTCTTGCCCAGGAACTCCTTTTAGGCTCAGCAGTTCTGATAACTTCACCACGTATTCAACCTCAGCACTTAGTTGCTAAAAAACCCCCCCAGACACTCAAGTTTACTTAGATTTACAGGAACTATCTTACATTTAATAAAATACAAACATAAATAAGGGATGGGCAGGTTGATTTGGAAAAGGAAGTAAGTGCCACTATGTGATGCTCACCTTATCTTTGCACTGAGACATTTTGGCATGAACCAAAATCTCAAATCCATGAAATCCTATAGTTTGGAAAGGTTTGGCCCAGATCTGGACTTTGAGTGGAGGATATTCTAGCAGTTTGTTTCCCATATTCTCATGTCTTTAGGCATGTTGGGATTATAACAGATTCACAAATTTGAGGGAACTAAATACAATGAAAACGGATCTTTTTGTGGTATTTACATTCCCTTCTCAGTTTTAGTCAGATATTGATTATTGGCTACAAGCTAATTCTCAGGTGAATGCCATCTTGGATCTGGATGATTTCTAGGTTTAGAAGGGATCAATAGAGGCACTGTGCCAAGACTCAACTTCTGGAGGCTGGAAGGCAGGACAATTTAGGAATTAAGTCTGCAGTGAATGAAGAGAATAGGACATACAGAGATTGGATGCACACCTTGCTGGGGTTATTTGACTCCAGCAGTCTTTCCTGCCCAGAGCAAGGAGGCTGGACTGAATAATCTCACGCGGTCCCTTCCAGACCTAAACGTCTGTGAATCTGTGCATCTGGAATCAGGTATACAATACAGAGAAGGCAAGAAACTCACTAAAGCATCCCAGTCTGATCAGCTATACAGCTCCTAAGTATGGAACTAGACAATTTTTTATGTTTTTGCACAC